GCAGCACCAACAGCAGCAGCAGCAGCAGCAGCAGCAGCAGCAGCAGCTGAAGCAGTCTATAGGGAGACCCCCAAGGAGGTCCTCTAGGCCCAATCTTATAGAGAGGACTCTCTTACAGAATCAGCATCAGTTGCTGCCTAGCCAAGTGCAGCAGCTGCATCAGCAGCTGCTGCAACAGCAGCAGCAGCAGCAGCAGCAGCAATTCCTACACCAACGACACCAAAGGCCTTTCCTTCACCATACGTTAAGGGCACAACAACGACAGCTGCAGCAGCAGCAGCAGCAGCAGCAGCAGCGTGCTGCAGCCGCCAGTCGATCACCATCCCCGCTGCACTATAGGCAGCAGCAGCAGCAGCAGAGTGCACGCGCGCAGGAACTGCAAGAAAGACTGCGGCAGGTGATAAGGGAGGAAGAGTTGAGTAGAATGGAGTTGGCACTGCTGCAGCGGCAGCAGCAGCAGCAGCAGCAAGAGCAGCGGCTGCTGCAGCGGCAGCAGCGACCGTCTCTCTTAGGGTCTCCCTTGCTGCAGCAGCAGGAAGCTCAGGAGCAGCAGCAGCAACTGTTGCTGCCAGCATATCCAACAGAAGGAGACATGTCAGGTTATGGGGGGGATTTGCTGCAACAGCAGCAGCAGCTGCTGCAGCAGCAAGTTGAAGAACCCTCCTCCCTTACGCAGCAGCTGTATATACAAGCAGCAGCAGAAGAGCAGCAGCAGGCTATCAGCAGGCAGCTGCAGCAGCAGCAGCAGCTGCAGCAGCAGCAACAAACCACTTGGAGTCTTAGACCTACAGAGGGTACTGTATCCTTTGGTGCCCCTAAGGGGCAGCAGCAACTGTCGTTGCAGCGCAGCAGCAGACATGATGGTCCTGCTGCTGCTGCTGCTCTTGATACAATAGCTGACCAGGTGTACGCAATATCCCAGCAGCTGACGGAGCAGCAGCAGCTAGCGCAGCAGCAGCAGCAACTGCAGCAGCAGCAATGTACTGCTGCCTTACAAATACAGCAGCAGCAACTTGCTCGTCAGGAGCAGCTGATGTCCCAGCAGCGAGAGCAGCTGCAGCAGCAGCAAGAGCAGCAGCAGCAGCAGCTACGGGAGATGCTTGAGGCAGCAGCAAGACTACAGCAGCAGCAGCTAGAGGTACAGCAAGCAGGTCTGCTGCAGCAGCAGCAAGCAGCAAAAGAGCAGCGCAACTATATAGCACAGCAAACTGCTGCTGCTCTATCAGCAGCAGATTCTGTTTTATCAGGTGCTCGTGCTGCTGTTGCTTCTCTACATTTATCTAAATCTGCTGCTGCTGCTGCTGCTGCAGCTGCTGCTGCTGCTGGGGGAGAAGGCTCACGCGCTGCAAGAGATGCAGCAGCAATTGTCCGCATGCAAGAATCTGCTGCTGCTGTTGCTGCAGCAGCAAGCAGCATGGAGAAAAGGAAAGGGCAAGACCCAACAGCAGGAGAAATAGCATGGACACTCAATGATGGTCAGCATCCTGCTGCTTCTGCTGCTGCTGCTGTTGCTTTTGCTGCTGATGTTGCTGCTGCTGCTGCTACTGTGTGTGTTTGCTGCTCCTACTGTGTTTGCCGCTATTGCTGCTGCACATGCGACTGCTGCTGTTGTATCTGGTGCTGCTACTGCTGCTGCTGCTGCTGCTGATGCTGCTGCTGTGTTTGCTGCAGAGGAGCTATGTGACTGCCGCAAACCGATCCCCGACCCCCAGGCACATTTGCTGCTGCTGCAGCGGCGTCTTGTCCCCCGCAGCACAGCAGCAGCAATAAAGGGCAGCAGCAGGACTGATTTATTCAGCAAAATAATTAAGGGAACCATGGGAGCTTTATGGTATCTGCTGCACATATTGCTGCTGCTGCTACTGCTGCTGCTGCTGTTGCTGCTGCTGCACTTGGAGCAGCAGCACCTGTTGTTTGCTGGTGCAGCAGATGCTTCTCTTGCTGCTGCTGCAAATGCTGCTGCTGCTGCTGCTACGCCTTCTGCTGCTGTAATATCTGCTATGTCCCTTGCTGGTTTTGCTGCTGTGTTGGCATTTTGTGACTGCTGATGCTGCTGCTGCTGCTGCTGTAACTACTGCTACTACTACTGCTACTGCTACTGCTGCTGCTGCTACTACTACTCCTACTACTGCTGCTGGTGCTGCTGCTGCGCATGCATTGTGTGCAGGGTATTGGCATTCCTAGTATCTATTGGTTTCTTAGCGTTTGTATTAGTGTGCGGAGGATCAGACTTTGCTTCTGCTGCTTCTGGCTGGCAGCATTGGCGTTGGTGCTGCTTCTGCTGCTGCTGCTTCTGTTTGCTGCTGCTGCCATGGGGTATTGGAGAAATATTCGCGCTGCTGCTGCATGCAAAAAGAAAGAAAACACCAACCATCATTAGCAAACTACAACCTTGGGAAGATACACGTAAATTATATTTGTGCACACCTTGCTGCTGCTGTTGCTGCTGCTGTTGATGCTGTTGCTGCTGCTGTTGATGCTGTTGCTGCTGCTGTTGATGCTGTTGCTGCTGCTGATAGTGTTGCTGCTGCTGTTGCTGCTGCTGCTGACCGTCGCTAATAGCTTCCTCCCTCCCCTTCCTTTGCACCATTTTGCTTCTGCCAATGCATGCATGCATACATGCATGCATGCATCAATGCATGCATCTGCATGCAGATGCAGATGCATGCATGCATGTTGTATTATTTGCTTATTTTCTTGTGTGGTTGTTTGCATGCGCATGCAGTTCATCCTGGTCTTAGTTTATTATTAGGTAGTTTATCTTCTTTTATCTTATTTAATTATTTATTTAAATTTAATAAAATAAAAGAAATAAAAGAAGAAACAACAGAAAAAATCGCAATTACATGGCTAGGGTTTTCCTTCCAACTCGCTATTATACTTGCAGCAGAGGCACGCACAAACCCTAAACCCTAAACCCTAAACCCTAAACCCTAACCGTAAAGTCTAAAGTCTAAATAGTAAATGGTAAACCCTAAACCCTCGGGAGTTGCATATAGGGCCATCTGTCCTTTTTCCTTGTGTATATGTAGCTGTGTTGTATAGGGTGATTAGGGTTTAGGGTTTAGGGTTTACTGTTTAGGGTTTTTTGTGTGTTGCATGCAGGTGATGTTACGTCATTTGCTGCTAGGGTTGCTGCGGCAACGTCTTGCTGCTGCTCGTGGCGTAGAGGCAGCAGCAGCATGCCTGTGCCTTTGTTCTTTTAGGAGATTAAATATATTATCTGGAGAAATAAATTTATTAATAAAAAAAGAAAAAAAAATAAATAAAAAAAATAAATCTATAGATATAAAAGAAGAAAAAAAAGCAGCACACAAATTACAACCAGAGGCACCTCTCTTCCCTCCTCCTCCTTTTGCTGCTTTTTCTCTTGATTTTCCTGCTGATTTGCTGCAGCAGGAGGACGAGGAGAAGGAGGAGGAACAGCAAAAGAAACAGTCTTCTGCTGCTGCAGCAGATGGAGCAACAGCAGCAGATAACCTTGGTGTTTCTGCTCCACCTGCAAGAAGCGCCAGCATCCCGCTGCAGCAGCACGTAGAACCACAGCAGCAGCAGCAGCAGCAAATACTCATACCTCTAGCATTAGCAGATAATGTTGCTGCTGCACCAGCTATTGCTGCTGCGGTTAGTCCTGCTGCTTTGAGTCCTGCTGCTGTGAGTCCTGCTGCTGTGAGTCCTGTTGCTGCTGCAGCACTGCAACAACCATCCCCTAGGCTCCTCGTGCACCCAGCAGCAGTTACAGTTAATACGCAGCAGCAGCAACCGCAACAGCAGCAGCAGCAACAAGTGCTGCTGCTGCAAGTCCCTGTCCCCGAGTCTGTTACTAAAGGCAGCAATGCTGCTCCTCAGAGTCTGCTGCACACTAAGCTGCTGCAGCACTGGAAGCAGCAGCAGCAAAGTCTTAATGAGAAGCAGAACCGTAGGAGGACTTCCTTTGTTGTCCCGCTGCTGCCTCCTATAGAGCAAACATACCAGCAGCAACAGCAACAGCAACATCAACAGCAACAGCCACAGCCACAACACCTAGCAGCAAATGTATCACAAGCCCCACCTCCTCCTACCTGGCAGCTAACGGGGCTGCACGGATCGCAGCTTGTCTCAGGGTGCTCTTCTACCTCTTTAGACAGGACCAGCAGAAGCAGCAGCAGCGGCTGCAGCTGCTGCAGCTGCAGCTGTTGCAGTTGCTGCAGCAGTTGCAGCTGCACCAGCTGCAGCGAGAGCATCGAGAGCTGCTGCCGCAGCAGCAGTAATGGCAGCTTCGTCAGCAGCTGCTGCAGCGAGAGCAGCAGGAGCAGCAGAGATAGCACGTCAAGCCGGAAGAACTGCTGGAGGAAGCGTTGCAGGTGCAACAGCAGTAGCAGCAACTGCAGCAGCAGCAATAGTAGCAGTCGCAGCAGCAGCAACAGCAGCAGCCGGTGCAACCCATCAAGGACACGAGGAGGCTGCCCTCACAAGAATCGGTGGAGAGGATTTTCGCTGCCAGCAGCAGCAAAGGTGCGAAGCAGCAGCAGCGAGGCATCCCTCCTTACGGCCAACAGAAGCAACAAAAGCAGCAGCAGCAGCAGAAGCGGCAGCAGCACGAGCAGCAGCAGCAGCAGCAGGAGGCGGGCTGATATGGCAGCAGCTCTTTCTTTAACTGTCCCCTTTGCCCCTCCTCCTGACTCTTCTACTGCCTCTTCTAGTAGCATTCCGTACCCATGTCAAGGTCACAGAAGACGCAGCAGCAGCAGAAGCAGCAGTAGCTGTTGCTGCAGCAGTAGCAGTAGCTGTGCCACGTACAGACGCAGCAGCTGCAGCAGCTGCAGCAGCTCCCCGGCATTCATGCCCCTCAGTAAACCACCGCATGCGTCTTCCCCCACGCAGCAGCAGCAACAAGAGAACCAAATCGAGCAGCAGCAGCAACAGCAGCAGCAGGGGCAGCGCCTGCTGCGGCCTGAGCAAAGGCATGCTTCTTTCTATTCTTCTGTAGGGTCTCCCCGGTTATATAGAGGCCCCCCTTCGTTGCGTGGGCCCCCTCCAAGAGCAGCGCAAGTTGAGGGTTTCCGTAGCAGCAGCACCACCACCACCAGGAGCGGCAGGCCTCATAATCGTGCAGCAGCAGCAGCAGAGTATCCAACTGTACATGATAGGCCGCATGATGATTCAACAGCCCCAAGTATGGTAGTGTTTACATCAAGTGGCAACAACAGCAGCAGCAGCAGTAGCAGCAGCAGTAGCAGCAGCAATAATTGGGGATTTGCTTCTGTCCCACCCCATAAGGCACTTCAAATGCTACATTTCCTACTAGCAGCAAAAGCACAAATTGTTGTTAAAGGAGAGACACAGCAACTGCACTCTGCTGCTGATGTGCTGCTGCATGGTGCTCAACTTTTTCAAGAACTCCTTGATTTCCATACTATGCTACAGGGATCGGGATCCGGATCGGGATCGGGATCGGGGGATCCTACAACAACAGGTCCACGGCAGGATAGATGGGATCGAGATCCTCAACAACAGCAGCAGCTACAACAACAGCAACAGCAGCAACAGCAGGAACATGTTGTGCTGCTGCCGTCAGCATCGGGACATAATGTACTAGCTAGAGATACTTCTTCAGTGACCGCGGTATCACCAGCACTAACTGCAGCAGCACCAACAGCAGCAACAGCAGGAAGGCCAACTAGCGAGAGAGGGGGGTCCCCTAGAACAGCAGCAGCAGCAGCAGCAGCATGGGGATTATCTCCTAAAGGAGACCCACAGCTAACATTAGAAGGCAGACGCAGCAGCTCGCTGCACCAGTTTGCTGCAGCAGATGCAGCAACAGAGGAGACAATGCAGCAATTTGCTGCTGGTGGGGTTGGAGGAGGATGGCGTACTGATGTGCAGCACTTCCGCAGCAACAGGAGCAGCAACAACATAAACAGCAACAATAACAATAATAATATTAATGGCAGCAGCAACAGCAGCAGCAGCAGCAGGGTCTATCCTCCTCATACAGAACAGCTGTCCTGGGAATCGCAGCAAAGAGACACAGCAGCAGCAGCAGAGGATCGATCCCCAGCAGAGCTGCTGCTACCTCCACCAACCCCACAGTTCTCTGCTGCTTCTGCTGCACCTAGAGCATCAGAAGCAGATCTACCCACTACAGTTGCTGCTGCAACAGCAACAGCAGCAGCAGCAGACAGCGACAGAACAGACACACAACAGTGGCGTCTAGAGCCCAGCAGCTCCCTTGTAGACATTCCGTATATCCAGCAGCAGCAACAACAGCAGCAGCAGCAGCAGATGCGGCAGCAGTTGCAAGAGCAGCAAATGCAAATTCAACTCGTGCAGCAAAGCCGACAGCAACAGCTCCAACAGCAGCAGATGCTGAGGCAGCAAGAACTGCAGCAGCATTTACAGCAGCACATACAGCAGCAGCAGCAGCAGCATCAGTTTGCTGTTACTGACAATCAAGCAGGCTCACAGGTGCTGCAGTGCTTAGAGGCATCTGTCTCGTCTTTTCTGCCTGAAGCGCAGCTGCTGCAGGAGCTGCAGCGGCAGCAGCAGCAACTGCGGCTGCAAAGTGCTCAGCTGCAGGAACAGCAGCAACAGGAGCAGCAGCAACAACAGCAACAGCTGCAGCAACTACAGAGGAGGGGTGGAAGCTCCTTGCTGCTGCACAGCAGCACACAGAGTGGCAGCTCTAACTACTTTGCCCTCCCTACTGCTGCTGCGCTGCTGCAGACAGCAGCAGCAGACATCGAGGCAGGAACAGAAGCAAGAGAGTATACAAACAATAACCAGAGCAACAGCCCCCCATCTGCTGCTGCTTCTGCTGCTGCTGCTGCTGGGGGTGCAGTAGACTACGGATCGCATGCACTAGCTGCACCAGGACAGGGACAAGGGGCATCTCTGTGGCGCCGCAGCAACAGCAGCAAAGACACGCCAAACCACAGCAGCAGCAGCACCAGCAGCTCGCGTCTCTTTACCTTTAACCCTGAGCAACTTGAGCATGCTGGTCTCCCTGCTGTACCCTCGGGGGGGACCCCTAAACATTCAGGGGCCCAGGGGCCCCCTAACTCCCTTCAATCGTTTCGGGACACCCAAGGATCTTCACGGGGGCCCCACACCTCGTTAGGGGGCCCCCAAATGGGATCTTTGGGGGGGGGTCCCATGGGATCTCTAGGGGAGCCCCCAGGATCTTTTGGGGGCCCCTCAGGCTCTCTTGGGGGCCCCCAACAAGGCTCCTTAGCTGCCCTCCCAGGATCGTTTGGGGGCCCCTCCCAATCTTCGTCAGGTGGCCCCATTGGGTCTTTTGGGGCCCCCCAACAAGGCTCTATGGGGGGCTCCCTAGAGTCGCTTGGGGGACCCCAAGGGTCCTTGGGGATTTCCCAGGTTTTCTCCTCAGGGGCCCCCTTGGGGACAACAGGAGGCCCGCAGAGAAGCTCCCATGGGGTTACCTCCCAGGGGGGTAGTACCCTCCATGGGGGCCCCTCTGGGGTCCCCCAGGGTACCCCTCCTAGGGGTTGGTCTGGTGGTGTCCCTGAGGACGTTGTTAGTGGGGCATCCGAACAGCAGACAACAGAAGGGGTACTGCAGCAGAGCAACTCTTTTATAGGTGTGGGGAGGCAGCAAGAAGAAGAAGAGTTTGGATCTAGAGCAGCAGAGCTGGCGTCCTCAGGGCAGCAGCACCCGCAGCAGCAGCAGCAGCAGCACCAACAGCACCAGCCCCAGCACCAGCAGCAGGTGTTGCATGGAGGGGCCTCAGATGTGCAGCAGAGCTCGAGCAGCAGTCTCTTTGCTGCAACAAGACCTCATTTTGCTGCTGTCTCCTCTAGGCCAAGACAAAGGAGACGCAGACACCGCAGTGGTTGCAGCAGCAGCAAGCACATCAGCAGCAACAACTACGGCAGCAGCAACAACTACTACAGCAGCAGCAGCAGCAACTGGGATCAGCCTGCAGAACGAGACTGCGCATGCGGAGCTGGTACCGATTCAATAGAAGATTTCCGTCTACCCCCACCTGCAACAAGCGCAGCAACACCAGCACCAGCAACAGCAGCAGACTGCAGCACAGATGAGCAGCAATATAATAGCAGAAGGGACAGAAGAAGATTTGTTTCAGAAGCCCTCCAATGTGTACGGCAGCAGACACTCTGCTGCTGCTGCTGTTGCTGCCGCTGCATCTGTTGCTGCTACAGCTTTTGTTGCCATTGCTGCTTCTGTTGCTGCTGCCGCATCCTTGTATTTGCCGCTGCTGCCGTTGCTGCTGCTGTGTCTGCAGAGTGCGGGGCCCCCCAGGCGCTTAACAGTTGCTTCTCCCCCTTGGCAGTGCGATGGCTACAGCAGCATCAATAGAGACTGCAGCACGCTCTCAGGAGACGTGCTGCTGCAGCAGCAACTGCAGCAGCAGCAGCAGCAGCAGGTGCTGCTGCAGCGAGGAGTCTTGACTATTGATCATTTTCTCTACTTTCTTCGGCATGATGATGCCGTCCTCTTCTTTCAATCTTTCGACAGAGCCAGTCAGACAGCAACCTGCTGCTGCTGCTGCTGCTGCATGTGCCTATATGTATAATATGTGCTGCTGCTACTGCTGCGCTGCTCGTGGTCTAATTGCTGCTGCAGCCAGCTCGGGTGTTGCCTAGTTACACTAGATAGCTAGCTAGGTAGGCAGCTAGCTAGCTAGCTATCTAGCTAGCTAGATAAGTAGGGTTTGTATGTCTATGTGTTGCTGCTGCTGCTGCTGCTGTTGCTGCTGCAGATCCTGAGTGTATAACTCGAGGGGAATTTGTTTGCGGATTGATGGATGTCTACAGAAAACAACTCAAACTAAGACATGCAGCCAGGGTAAATTTAGGGTTTAGGGTTTATGGTTTAGTGTTTGAAAGGATTTAGCGTTTATGGTTTGTTAGAGTCTACAGTTGGCTAGGGTTTATGTTTTGCTACGGTTTAGGATTTGATATGGTTTAGGGTTTGTTATGGTTTTGGGAATAGGGTTTAGGGTTTAGAGTTTGTGAGGGTTTAGGGTGTGCTAGGGTTTAGGGTTTAGGGTTTACATATATGTGTGACAGTTGCATGTGCCGATAACAAGCAAAGCAAATCGTTTATTAAGGTTAGGGTTTAGGGTTTAGGGTTTAGCGTTTAGGGTTTGTTAGTGTGTATAGTTACATGAGGCAACAATAAGCAAAGCAAGTCGTTTATGGTCTAGCGTTTAGGGGTATGGTTAGGGTTTAGGGTGTAGGGTTTAGGGTTTGCAAGGGTTTAGGGTTTAGGGTTTATGTATATGTGTTATAGTTACATGAGGCGATAATAAGCAAAGCAAATCGTCTATTATTGGCGATTTGTTTGCCAATAACTTTTTCTTTATCTTTTATTTTATCTAAAATACCTTTTCTTCAATGGGCAGCAGCAGCAATTGCTGCATTATTGCTTCTTTCTCTTGCTGTTACAGGTAAATCTTCCTGCTGCTGTTGCTGCTGCTGTTGCTGCTTTTGCTGTTGGTGTGAATACATTGCTGCTGCTGCTGCTGCTTTTTTTTCCCTGCGCTGCTGCTACTGCTACTTCTGCTGCTGCTCCCGTTCTTGTTCCTGCTGAATATGTTGCATATTTTAGTACCTAATGCATTGCTGCTGCTGCTGGTGTTGGTGCTGTTGCTGTTATTATGTATTCATTTGTATTAAGGAGGAAGATTAAAGGAATTAATTAGCGAAGTATATTTTATTGGTTTTGTTCATCCCTTTGATGTTGGGGATATAATTTCCTTAAAAGATCCATTACCTATTACTTATGATAGTTCTGCTGCTGCTGCTGCTGCAGCAGCAGCTGCTGCTGCTGCTGCTAGTGGTGGTGGTAGTAGTGGGGGAAAGGGTGCTGTATATGGTGGTAGTTCTCTATCACCTGCTGCAGCAGCTGCTGCTGCTGCAGCTAGTGCTGCACCCTTCTCAGGAATGTCTGCAGCAGGCATATCTGCTGCTGCAGCAGCAGCAGCAGCAGCAGCAGAAAGAGCAGCAGGAGCAGCAGCAACTTTTGTCCTCCATAAGGCAAGATGTGTTGGACAAAGTCTTCATTGTTGTGTTTTTGAATTATCTGATGATGGCACAGAGGTAACTTAGTATGGCATTATATTATTTTATTTAATTAGTTACAATTTAATTATATTAATAAATAAATAAATAAATAAATAAATACATAAATAAATAAATAAAATAAGTTACTTATTAATATAATTAAACTGTAACTAATTAAATAAAATAATATAATGCCATACTGTTGATACTATTGCTGCTGCTGTTGTTGTTGCTGTTGCTGCTGTTGCTGGTGCTGTTGCTGCAGATGGAGGTCCCAATAAGATTATTAAGACATAAGGCAATATCTAATGACAGCAGAAGACCACCGCATGCAAGGGTTTATGTTGAATTCTTTATAAGAAAAGAGCATGCAAACCCTCAAACCCTTAAGGTAAACCCTAACCCCTAAGCCCTTGTAAACCGTAATAAACCCTTTATAAATCCTTTCCTAAACCCTAAACCCTTCTGATAAGTCCTTCTAAATCCTCTTGCTGCTCCTGTGGATTCTCCTGCTGCTGCTGCTTGCTGTGCTGCTGCGACTGCTCTTGCTGCTGCTGCTGCTCAGGAGTTGCAGGAGCTACTAGAAGATTATTGCTGGCGAAGGCCAGGGGAGTGGCTAAGGCAAATGCCGCCATCCGTCTCTCTAAGAGAGGAGACAGTAGATGGAGACACTCTTAAGGTACCTATAAACCCTAAACCCTAAACCCTAATCCCTAGAGTTAAAAAGATTCTTACATGCATGAATAGTTGGCACGATATCGAGTTGAACATTACTTGCTAGCTAGCTAGCTAACTAGTCTAGCCAGCTAGCTATTATCTAGTTTATTTATTTGTAGGGTTTGTTGCAGGTTATTGTTCAAGCAACACACCGCAAAAGCAACGATCATCCCGGCTGTATCCGCGCATCCACCAACTCCCTCCGCCTGTAAACCCTAAACCCTAAACCCTAAATCCTAGAGGAAAGACGTTAGGTTACAAGGTGTTATAAAACCTTATTAATCCCTCACTCCTCTCCTTAGTTTGCTTTATACGCCTGCTGTAGGGTTTACTAGGGTTTAGGGTTATTAGGGTTTAGGGTTTAGGGATTAGGGTTTATTTGCAGGGCATTAGCAAGACATTCAAAAGAACTCTTAGAGCAACTCTCTTCTCCTCCATCACGCCTCAGGAGGCAAAGCACTTTCTGAGGCATGCATGCATGCATGAATGCATGCATGCATGCTGCAGCTGCAGTTGCTGCTGCATGCATGCATGAACACATGTATGTAGCGCACCAAGTTGGTGGGGTTAAGCCGCTGCTGCATGCATGCACGCAGCTGATGCTGCTGCTGCTGCAGCTGCTGCACGCATGCAGTTGATGCTGCTGATGCCGCAGCTGCTGCATGCATGCAGTTGATGCTGCTGATGCTGATGCTGCAGCAGCAGCATGCATGCAGCATTTCTAGTCTAGGAGACTATCCGCCCTAATGCATGCAGCAACAGTTTGGGGTTTTGCTGCTGCATGCAGCAGTACCAACCCAACAACAACAAACTGCGTGCAAAACAATAAAAAGCCCCAAAGACAAAATTTCTTTTCCTTTCTTTATGAATATGCACAACCGAATATATCTACATATTATATACATTCTATCTATTAATCTTTTATATATTATATACTATTTATATATTATATAATATATACATATATATGTACACAAACAGAACAAAGCATAGAACAGACAGTTGAGAGAGCAAGACTTACTAGCTTGCACTGCTTACAAACTTATGCCTGTATCTCTTAATGGCAGGTTGACTGACTCGACCATCATCAGCCCCAGTTGTAGGAGTTGTTGCTACGGAGAGCTGCAGCAAATGCAACAAGAACACGCTTTGCTTTGCAGCGGACATGCTACTCTTTTTTTTTGTTTTTTTTCCGAACATTTCTCTTCTAAGTCAGCAGTGGGGATCATTATTGTCTTCTCTCTACTTGTTGAGCACGTTTTGCCATGGTGGTCAAGACGTTGTGCTTTGGTTCATGTGTATGCAGTTGTCATTAGTTCGTCCCTTCCTTCTTTAATTTAATTTTGTGAATAAATATACTTTGCATGAATAATATCAATGAAGCATACTTCGTTATCCATGGCTGCAACCACGTAAGTGGTACGCTGTGCTCGTCCGGTGGTCTGATGGCACATTTGTACAAGGTGGTGACGCCGTTCCAGCATTACGCATAATCCATTGTTGCTAATGCTGTTGCTTATTTAATTTATTTGTTGTCGTGCAAGTTTACAGACCCAATTAAGGCAAAATGAAGGCATCAGAAATAGGAGAAGAGGAGGATCCATCGCTTTTTGTCTGTGAAGGCGGAGGTAAGGACAATGTAAAGGTTGTGCTGCATAGGAGCACGCGTAGGACTTAGGCGTGGGAATGCCAGGGGTGGTAGGTTTCGATGCAGGTGATGGCATCATTCGAGGCGTGAGGGGTCAAGGTGCTCTA